TTTTTGCTAAAAACTGCCGTTATTTTTGGCGTTGGTCGACTCTCCAAAGGTTTTTCCACTTCAGGTCGTCTCACGAAAGAGGTTTCAAGCAAAGACAAAACAATATCGTGAGACGGATTCATTTTTACCTATTACAAATAATTATTTTTAGATTAATAAAGCCACAACCGCACAACAACAACCTTGGAAATACTGTATTAATAAAATAAAAAAACAAATCGGCTTACTTACTTGATGTAAGGGCTTTTGCCTTACCTTACCTTCTTTCTGCTTTCAGGCAATACAACAATAAGTTTATTAACTCGCAAAACGAAAACCCGCCTCGAAAATTAAAATCACAAATAGGTTAATAAATACAACCAGCACGAGGTGCGCGAACACTATACGATTGCGTGTTAAATGCGCCGGGCACAGAACAATAAAACGTTGTCAAGTTTCAGATAGGCAATAATTTTAGTATAGTAATCTTTATTTCTTTTTGTTGTTTCATTCTGACTTTTTATATTTTAAAAAAGAAACATTTAAATAATGAGTGTCCTTGTTCAAAATCAAAGCGAGCATTTAGCAACATGCAAGTTACTGTTAAAAATAAAAATTTACTTTGTGGGCCTCAATGTCTACAAAAATTCGCGTATTATTCCCGGCCCGGCCTCAGTTGCTTTATACGACGAGCCGCCACTGATTAAGTTTATGGAATGTATATTACACATTGCCTACAATTTACCAATGTTATATATAAATCTTATAAATGGTGCTAGCTGGAGAAGAAATATCTCTCGGAAGGGTATGGTAGTTTTTAGGAGTCTACTAAATGACTTAAATTGGTCCCAATTTAATAACTTAAATACTGATGCTAACACTCTAGCAAACTTTATGGTAAACAACTACAAATCACTAATAAATAAACAATTTCCTTTAAAAAAATATACAAATAATAAAAAAACACCTGTACTATGGTTCAACGGATTACTAAAAGAAATTAGAAATACCCTATATGCCTTAAAAAGTTTATAACACTACAAAAGCCCATTCGACCTAAATAAATATAACAAACTAAAAAAAGAGTACAAAACTCAGATATTAAAAAATAAAAGGGAAGCAAGTGAAAATTATATAATTAACTCAAACAATAAAGCCAGGGATACTTGGAAGTTAATTAATTTTGAAAGAAATAGAATAAAGACTTCAAATACGGATCCTACCTTCACACCAGATGATTTTAATACTTTTTTTGCTACAATAGCTGAAAATTTAATAAAAAATCTACCAGACACTAAAAATGCTGCACTAAACTTTCTGAGCGGTATGAATTCACCAGCTGGTTCTTTTTTCATTGACCCGGTAAGCACTTTTGATGTCCATGTCATATCACTAAGCGACTCAAAATGCCCAGATGTATATGAAATGAATAGCTTTTTTTTAAAAAAACACTATTGATATTATTATCCAACCCCTAACTTTACTTATTAATAAATGTTTTGAGGACGGAATCTTTCCAGATTGTCTAAAAGTTAGTAAGGTTATTCCACTTCCAAGAAAGGAGATACTAAAGAAATAGGAAACTACCGCCCAATCTCTATTATTCCTGTAATTGGTAAAGTAATCGAAAAAATATTAAAAAGTAAACTTGTCAAATATTTATACAATTTTAATTTATTGGATGACTGCCAATTTGGTTTTCGCTCGAGCAGATCTACAATCAACGCAGTCTCCAAAGTCATAAAGGACATTTTAGAAGGTCTCGAAAAAGGAACTATTGTATCGCTAACTATGTGCGATCTGTCCAAAGCTTTTGACTGCGTCTCACACTTTCTTCTATTAGAGAAGCTAAAATTGTATGTAATCAGAGGCAAATCTTGGTATATACTTAAATCTTATTTAAATAATAGAAAACAACGTGTCTATATAAACAACTGCCTTTCTGAAACAAAATTGATACCATATGGGGTTCCTCAAGGTTCCATAATGGGCCCGGTTCTTTTTATAGTATATATCAATGATCTTTTCTTTAACCTATTACCCAAAAAAAGTGTGGCTTTTGCTGATGATGTCACAATGATCGACTCTAATAAGGATCTAATTTCACTTAAACTGTCTGCTAAAGAATCTGAGACTACTCCTTTTGACTGGTTTACGCCTAATAAATTGGCAATGAACAACGACAAGACCCAGAATTTCATTTTTTCAAATAATTCCAACGTTGCCAAAGGAAATCACGTAAAACTCCTAGGTATCACAATAGACGATAAATTAGACTGGAAAGCGCATATTGAACAACTTGGCAAAAAACTTTCCAGTTCTATTTTCGTAATTAGGCAACTGTCCTATATACTTTCACCTGACATCCTTAGGACCTGTTACTTTTTGTTATTCAACTCCCATCTTAGTTATGGTATAATTTTATGGGGCAATTCAGTGAATGCCATAAAAATCTTTAAATTGCAAAAACGAGTGGTTAGAGTTTTAGTAAAGGCCAAAGCTAATGAACATTGTCGACCCATTTTTAAACATCTTCAAATCTTGCCGCTACCGTGCCTGTTTTTACTATATTCTTTAATGGAAATCCACAACACCAAATCTAGTCACATTTTAAGTCATAATATTCACAACTACAATATTAGAAACACAAATTTCTTAAGAACCTCGGAGTTTAGGCTTACAAAAACTTTAAAAAATACCTTAAATGTCAATTTATACAATCACCTACCTCAAAAAATTAAGGAACTAACTTCCAAACGATTTAAATCGACACTAAAAAATATTTTATTAGAACAATGTTTTTATTCAATTAAGGAATATCTTGAACATGTTTTTTAACCCATACATAACATTGTATTTTCTTTTAAACACTGTTGTTGTTTGTTTGTGTTATTTATACAATTTTTATTTATGAACAAAACATATGTATTTTTATTTACTATGTATTTACTTAATATTCTCTAATGGTATTGTATACTTTTTTTTGACCTGTCACAAACATATTGTAATATTGTAATGTTGACCAATAAATTTATTAAAAAAAAAAAAAATGGAAAATGGAGAGCCACAAAAGATCTGCAGGAATTTAAGGAATCTGAAAAAAAAGAACTCAACAGGAATTTAGATCAAAAATGCGTTTAATAACAGACTTTGTTAAAACCGGCTTAGGTAATTCCAACTTTGGAAACACATTTTTTTGTATTTTTTAATCATTAAAACAACTAAAAGTAGTGTTTTTACAATATAACATATTGTTATAATATATCTATATTTATAATATTATGGCAATAAAAAATAATATTATTTTCGCCAAAAAGTTTATAAAACCCACGTTAAAAAATTAAAAGTTTCTATTTTTTGGATTTATATTATTAAATAAATCATACCTAGCACAGTAAAATAAAATAAATATTGTGTCCTTATAGAACTTATAGAAAGTATTTCCGCAAAACGGTGTGTTTTTACAATATAAAAATGCGATAAAAAATAAAAGCTCTAAGTTTTTTTATGTAAAAACATGCTTACTTATACGTTTTTTATCCTATTAAAACATTAGAAAAGAAAAAAAATAATATTTATTTGTAACAAAAAAGTTATTGAATTTTTGCCGCAAAACGGCATTTTTTGACTTGAGGCTAGCTACGCCACTGACTAGTAGCTTTGTACCTTTAAAGCATTTATATATATATATATATATATATATATATATATATATATATATATATATACCTAGCTACGCCTCTGCATGCCTACCCCATATTAGGAATGTACCCAATAATAGGCGACTTTCCTCTACGTGTCACATAAATATTATTTTAATACGGTGCGGATATCAGTATTAGTTTTGAAGAAAATTTTAAATGCTTCTTTACTTTAACAAATTTATGAATATATATTGAAATTGCAATTTGCATTATTTAAATTATTAAAAGCTGAATGCAGACATGTAGCAATATAAGCGTTATGCAATTTGGTAGATATTTTCCACAGTAAATTTTAAAAGTCTTGTATAACAGTATTTTTAAAACAAGGCATTTATTTTGGTTTTGTTTAATAATTAAACATGGAACTCCATAATCCAAAAATGCTTTGTGTGATAAAATATTTTGTGATTATTTACCTATATTAAATTTTATTTTATTCAATTTAAATTGGTATGTAACAAAAATGACTTTTCGAAAAAATGTCTGCATAATTAGTTTTTGTTGCCTTATTAAGTATATTTAGTTTGTTAGTTTAATAAATTATAATTATTATAAATTACTTAATAAAATTGGATTTTGGGTATTTTAGTCACGGGCTGAAGTAAGCCTTATTATAAAAAGCTTAAATCCGTTGAATTCTGTCAAATGTCAAATCTTTAACAAATAAAATTGGCTTTAAATTCTTTTTTGTGTTCGTCGTAGATAAAGTGGACTACGCGCCAAAATTGGAGTTTTGAGATATTAAAGGTTAAATATGATAATGCTTTAATGAAAATAATGTACACAACTCCAAGGTATTAATTAGGTATTAGATAGTTAATATTTTATCATAGACACAATTTTCTCCAAGTTTATTAAGCGAAAAACCCATAAATTATAATATTAATATTAATAATAATAATAATAATAATAATAATAATAATAATAATAAGTGCCAAAAAGATGAAAAATCTTCGGGTTTTATTTAAAAGAAGGTATGTTTAAAGAATGGTTCTATTTACATAAATAATATGGCTTTATTTTCTGAACGTTATAAAGCAAAAGAACAAAAATATTATAACGATTAAGTAATAATAAAGGACTTTATAGATTTTACTGAGTCATCCTCAATTTCAAAATCCAAGTTTTGTCCAAACCCATCGATATCATCCTTAAATTCTTGAATGTTGCCTATTTCATAGGGCGGTATTGCATCCAATGGAATAAATCGCATCAATGACTTAATATCTTCTGCCTTTTTGTTGGAAATTTCTTTTCCGTCAGAAAACATATAGAAACAGTCGCGTATCTAGTATCTTAAGTATCTTAAGTTAGATAATGCAAAGGCTTACACCGGCCATTGTCTGCGGCGTACGTTATCTACTCTTCTTGTTGGAGCAGGTGCTACTTTTGAAACGTTATAAATTCATGGAAAGTTTAACAGTTCGACTGTAGCCGAGGGATACATCAAAAAACAAGATTGCTCATATGATTACCACTTCTGTAACTTTAATTGAAAAGGTAAAAGAGAATAATTATTTAATAGTTTCATATCAAAATGAGCAAATAAGAAAAGAATCTTCACTTTCGAACGTTGGCCAAGCGTATCATTCTGTTTTTCGTTCGGCATTATTTTCGGGAAAATTGGACGACTGTAATTTTTATTTTGGAAATAAAGCTTAGTTTTATAGTTAGTGATTTAAAACAGAAAATTTTCTGTAGCTCTGGGTTTATATTGTATGATGTTTTGTGGAATTTAATTTGGGGGCATTATAAGCGAGCATTATGGTAAGGCCCTGCGGTTGTTATATATAAGTTTACTTGTTTAATTTGCAAAGTGTTGGATTAATAATAGATAAGTAGAAAATAAATTATATTATGCATTTCGTTTATAAACCTTTCTGGATCCACGTTTTCATTAAACACTCGCACGAAAGCTTCGCTTGTGCCTAATAAAACTAACTAAAATGCCGTTTATCAAATTTGATACATACATACTATTAAATTTATTATATTATTTAAATTAAAAACATTTGAGGTTAAATTCGTATAACAGTTGTCAGATGTCCAATGTTTAAAAAATAAAGTTTTCTTTAAATTCTACTTGTTTGTCGTAGATAAACTATGTACCTCGTTTTTAATCTTTTCTAGACACTTGTTTTATTAAACACTTGGTTGCAGGCTTTGCTCGTAACTACTTAAAACTTGTTACTAAAATGCTGTTTATCAAATTTTATACATACCTTAAATACTATTAAATTTATTACATTATTTATATTATTATGTAAACATTATATTACTGTGTAATATAATGAATATAATAATTATTATATTCATTATATTACACAGTATGATAACATTTGTTTTTTTCCCTTCCGTGAAAAATTCGTATAGATTTTGTAAATAGACTTTAAAAAATGATACCCGTGTCTTGGCGTTTTTTTAGATCACGTCAAGTGCGATCCAATAGAATGTTATCCACGGTATTAGGCACATAATATAACAGCTTCGAAAACAGCTAGACTGTATATTTAAAAAAAAAATATTCACTGAATAAATGGACAACCATTAAAATTATTTATTTATTTTAAAATTATTCTAATTATATGATCGCCGACGGTGGACTAGTGGTTAGTTTTACTTTTTTAAATTTATATAAAATTCTGTGTCAAACCGGAAGTGGCATTTTGTTTAAAATATTTTAAAAAAATATAGACTTAAATGGATTATAAACGCTTTTAAATTTCAAATCGATTTCTTTTTCCGTTCCCCAGAAACTTACAATGGACCACCAATGTGAAACACCCTGTATATCGAGTGGTGTTTTTTAGGTTATGATACCACTATGGATTCTAAAGGAATGTATAATCGTCAAACTAAAAGATCAAGATTTGTTTCCAACATATATTTAATATAAAATAAATAAAAATCTGTTGTTTTATTAAAAAAATCAAAAATTAAAACCAGAAATTATTTTTTTTTACTTAAAAAAATTAAAGTTATTATTTTCTTTAAGAATAATTTTTGTATTACGTAAAAACATACAATATTTGAAGAAAAAAATGATTTGTAACAAAATAAAGAATTAAAAATCTGTATAGAATAAAATAAGAAGAATGAATGGCTTTATACAAAATTTAAATGACGTGATTTCGTTCGGTGAGACACGGGTACGTTTTTATAACCTTTATTTTTAAAAATTTTCATTTGAGGAAAATCGTGTTAAACTGTGTTATTTATTAGAATTAATTTAGTAACTATTTTAAAAGCTTTTAGTTATACATTAAATAAAGCTATTGCAAAAAATAAAAATATTTCTTAGGATTTAAGTTTAAAATTCGACATGACATAGCGTGCAAATAAAAATATTTATAGAACCCTTACAATATACGAATAGTAGGTAAATATGTTGTGGGGACAAAACCCTTAATTAGGTTGTAAATATTTTAGTACCCGGAGCTGTTTCTTTCAACACAGCAAAATTTCCCATCATTTCAAACACCCCTGGGTTTATTACCTCTCCATTACCTGTATAAATTAAATCTAAAAATATAATAGACTTTTTTACGTAGATATGGGTGCTACCTCCGCGGAGGTACTATATTGCCAATCGTTGCGACTTCCAGGAGAGCTGTTAACACCACGAATCAATGAGGGCGACAACATCAACGCGGAGACATTTGTTAAACAGCTCAGGCAGCGGTTGCTGGATATAAGGCCTGCTGTCATCACCCGTCATGGTGACAAGAAGACCTTGCGACGGCAGGGCAAGTATTCATCCGCCACGACGGCCCTAAGAAACCTCTCCAACAACAGGGGCCGTATCGGGTCGTTAATCCGAGAAATGAATGTCAAGGGAAAAATACTACGGTTTCAATCGATCGGCTAAAACCCGCATATACGTTGTCCGATAACATCAAAGAACCAGCCACCAGCAGCGCCTAACGCACCAGACGTCCCACCAGCACGCGTCCCAGCCCTTCCGGCAGCGGTCTACCCACCAGCCTCCACCATAATTCATCGACAAACGAGATCCGGCAGACGGGTACGGTTTCCCGATCGCTTCCAATCCGGAGTCTCGTGATCTTCATCACTGGCAGGGGAGTGATGTGGGGACTAAACCCTTAATTAGGTAGTAAATATTTTAGTACCCGGAGCCGTTTCTTTCAACACAGCAAAATTTTCCATCACTTGCAAACACCCCTGGGTTTATTACCTCTCCTTTACCTTTATAAATTAAATCTAAAAATAGAATAGACTTTCTAGCCTGACCAATGGTGGGGGACGAGAGAGCCTGGTGGAAGATCTAAGGGCTCTCATCGACGACTACATCCTAAATTAGGATGTAGTCGTCGATGAGTGCTGCCAATTGTGGGTATTTTACCCGAAAAGCGGGTAATTTTATACAGCGTGCGGGTAAAAGTTTGAAGCGGGTAAACCGGGTATTTTTCTGAAAATATTTGTAAAACAAGAAATATTGAAACAAAGAATTGATCTTATGCAACTCAACATACGCAGTCAACTCAAAGGTCATTCCCCGGCGTCAGACATGCGGCATTCGGCAAGTACCGAGTGACTGCTCGCCGAATGCCGAGTAGTGTGGACGGGGTCGTCCACATCCGTGGTTTCGTTGCTACTTGCTGATGACAAATTTTGGTGTTTGGTGAATTTTCAGTGACCTAAAAAATATTAAGACCGATCATAGAAATTCGTTAGACACTACAACGTTGCCGTCTTTAATATCTACAAAACTGCTTGCCTTAAATTTGAAAGTCAGAAAATGATCAACGCTAAAATTTGGAAAACAAGTCAACAGTGAACCAGCCAGAAGAAATGCATATGAATTCATTTATACTATAATCATTATTATAATTTTTAAGTGTTTTTTATTTTGAAATGTTTTACAGAAATATAAAAGATTTTATTTGATTGTTTTTTTCACTTTTAAATTTGAAGTTTTCTAAAATTAAAATGGCGGGTAAAAGCGGGTATTTTCATTCGCGCACGCGGGTGATTCAAGGCGAAGAATTAGGAATCATTCCTAATTCTTCGTCTTGAATACATCGGCTCCGGGTAACTACACGCTAAGTTTGTATATAGTTTGTGTGTAAGTGTGTATATAATAAAGTTTAGTTTGTATATACCTAATCAATCAATTCGCTTACCTAACCGCACACCCAGTCGCCAAAATGTTATAGTTTTTTCATCAATGATGAATCATCATTGTTCTTTTTAAACTGTTAAACCTGAAATGGCCTTTTTATGGAAAGAAAAAATAATTAACTTTATTCTACACCTTACTTTCAAAGGTATTATAATAGAAATACATTTGACTAGCTTTACTAATTTTGATATAAAATTTATTGCTCTAAAAAAAATAAAGAGTGAAACTTTTAACTCCCGGTTTTTAATAATCCATTAAGTTAATCTAAACCATCTACCAAGTCTCATACCAATTTAATATTATTAGGTATAACATAATATAATCGATATAAATCACGTTTTTATTGCAAAAAGGCATTTTCAAATAGAATTGTAATAATCTACTGTAAAAGCAAACAAACGCTTATCGACCTGATTCCATTTACAATAATATAAATTAACCGAGATGTTATCTAAATGCTTTAATGTATGTATTAGTGTTTTATGATCAGTTTAATGTAAACTGTAAATTCACTAGTTTAGTAAATAAATCATCGGTCTAGCTAGTTTATGGTTGCGTGTATTTGTTTGTAATTGTTTTAATAGTTATTTAACTATGAACATAGAATTAAACAAAAATTGTATAAATTAAAATAAACCAAACTTTCATATAGCAATATAATAATGTAAAAAAAATAAACATTAAATGTCGAGTGGTTAATAATGCGCCGAATGTATTCGCAATTGTTAATAATTAATGTCATTCTTTCCTCCCGCTGTGAACAATCTTATTTCTTCCCCTGTATATATTTTTATTTCCTCCCTGTTATCAGGTAAGAAATATTTCATTCCCTCCCGCTACCATGACGACGCCAAAGTGTGATTTTACTCGAAAAACAAGTATAGTGTTTACCTCGCGTGGAATCGCAATTACTTTCACAATGAGTTCGTTCCTCGCCTATCGGCTCGCTCAGAAACTTTCATCATCGCTATGATTCCACGCTCAGTAAACAATAATGTTGTGGTTACTACTGTTGTGGTTACATTGTCCCTAAATTTAATACAGGGGAAGGAATAAGTTTGTTCACAGAGTAAAAAATGAATTTCATTAATTATTAACAACTGCGAATGCAATCGGCGCATTATTAAACACTCGATAAAAAACACTATACTTTTTTAATTTTAATACAAAATTTAGTACAATTTTGTGAAATTACCATAACGACAGATTCGATATCAAATGTCAATCTAAATTAATTTTTAAGATTCAAAAAACCACCGTATAATTGTCGTAGTAATGATAAACACTACCATATTATCTTCTAAGATAATATATCAATATTATTAGCCTCAACGCAGCCCTTAGAAGTTATTCATGATTGTATTAATATAATAACTTTTTCTACGAGCTTGTGGAAAGTAACTACTTTTCGCACTCATATGCGTTCTGAAAGTTGCATTTTTTCGCACTAGTAGTTGAAAGTATTTTCCGCACTAGTGCGGTGTAACCGTCATTTTGACAGTTACCCATTGATTTTATTTTATTACTTTTTGTACATCTATAACAGTATAGATGTGAACTGTTAAGTGGTTTATTTTTAGTTTGACTAATTGTTAAGTATATTTTTAATAATGATATTTGTTTAGTTGCCTCCAAAAGAATTTAATTATTTTTATTATTTTGTTTATTACCTGGTTTTGATAGTATGCAACCCAGAACACTCCCCATTTATTTTTAGTCTTCTCGACAACATTCACAACATCTTGGCAACATTGTATTCTTCTACGCACTTAATAAGGTTTACGTTTTTCTTTTCCGTTTTAACACTGAGGCTGTTTAGTTGGGAGTAAGCGTTGAAAACTCCTTAAAATAAGGGTAAGCTAATGCCAACGGATTTTGTAGGGTGCTAAAGTGGGTTCGTATTTCTTTTTAGGGTTTTTAAGATAGAGTATAGTTTTTATATTGGAGTTTTTTGTAAGACTATGTTAGATTTGTTGTGAAGGAATGGTTTTTTACTCTGAACTTGTTTTGGAAAATGGCAAGTTCTTACGTTACTGAAAAGCCATCCTGTAAAATATAACATAGTGGGAGACTTCAACATTGGAAGCCGATCTACCAGGGCCCCAACTGTGTTCAGGTTGTACCAAATTTGAGTATTTTTGTTAGAGAACATAGCGTACACTACATTCCTTATAGTTTGTGTACTTTTGAGTAGAGAATTCAACATAGTCTTTAACTTGTAAATTGTAATCATTTTAAATATATTTTTTGTATCATCAATAATATTTTATTAGTTAATTTAGTCTATTGGACTTTGGTTTTTGTAAACCATATATGGCCATATAAGGGTGCACCAAAATTATAGATCAAACAAATATTTAATATTACATGAAAAGTGATCACTGCAACATCGGTGTAACAAATATAACTGATTTATCTTTAGTAAGATTGTGTCTGACTTACTTGGATTTTAACAACTGGCCATAATAAGACACTGGCGCCCAATTTTAATTTGTCTTTATTTTAATTTAGTAAATATATTTGTATACACGTAAGTATTGAAAAATAACATTTCCCATCGACCTATCTCTCCGCTGAAAAGCTGCCGTTCGCCATAGCCCTCGAGTTGAGGTTACAGCGGAAAGTTTTTTTCGAACCTACGCAGGAAATGGAGGAAGAAATTGGGGAAAATATTATTGATGGAGTACCGGAAGACATTCTTAAAGAAGCCAAAAATGTAAACATCGATCTGTAACCACAAATGTCAAAATTTCGGTATGCTATGCTTGCAAATGGTGCGAAAAAAAGAAAATAAACAATTTCTTAATGAGGCTCCTGATGATATACCTTTTAACTAAAGTTGCCACATTAATTGGAGTAGCAGGCGCCTGTCGTCGTGAAGAACTATCATATTTAACCACAGATAATATTAAATACATTAAAGATACATATTGTCATTCCGGATAATAAAACAAATCAACGGAGAAGCTTTGTAGTGAGTGGTGAAAGAAATTTAAATTTAATTAAAAAATATACATTACTGCGACCACAAAGTACACCCCACAAAAGATTTTTCTTAAATTATCAAAACGGAATGTGTTCTGTCAAATGTGTTGGAATTAACAAAATCGGCAAGATGCCCACAGAGTGGCGAGATACATAAAACTGGCAAATTCCGATCTATACACTGGGCATTGTTTTAAGCTGTCTTCAGCCACTTTGCTAGTAGATTGTGGAGTGAACATCACAAACTTTAAGAGCCATGGTGGATGAAAGTCCACAAAAGTTGCTGAAGGTTATGTACTCGAGTATTTACAAAACAAGAAACAAAATGCAGATCGGATTCTCCAAACTCAGGCTACTCCTTACAATTCGCAACAATCAGTAATTAAGCTTCAACCACCTTATATTGAACTTGCAAAAGTCGTAAATAATTGTGATATGGCAATTACGGCATTTACGTTATTTTATTTGTATTTTGTTTAAAATACTTTAATAAATCGTTCTGCTTTTTATTAATTTGTACCATGTCTCTACCCTACTAACAATAATTTTTAAACGTTAGAGTCCCCATTCCGCCCGGTCTCCCCTACCTAACACTTGCGGAAAATGTCTTTTCCGTAATCGACTGATGACCGACCTCCGCTACGCGTCGGTCGTTCAACTTCAGTCGCGTGTAGAAAAGTAGCACTTTCCGCACTAGTTAGGTAAAAAGCTATTATTTTTCTTGTACAATATTGAGATAGGTACATGATAAACAATAAATCGATAAAAAAAATGTTTACCTTATTTCATTCATGTTATCATCGCCTATGCTTTTGGAGAAAGCATATGTTATTGACAGACTGAAGATTAAATAGTATATTTTGGTATTTTTCTACAACCGAGTGAAAAGTTAAAATTTGCGCTTCCAAGAGAAATTGCAAAGTTGTACTTTTTGGAGGAGCGAGCGTTTTTTACTTTGTCGCTCAGCGCTCGGCTCGAGCGCAAAGTGAAATTGCACCTCTCGCGAGATAGCCGCGCTCCGCTACGCGTCGCTCAGAGCGACAATAAATCACTT